TGGAGGCTTTCTTCCACTCATGCTGTTATTGGCTGCCGGTTGTGGAGGTACAGAATTATCATCATTAGCAAGGGCCATATCTATATTGATACTTTGATACAAAAGTAGTTATACCAGGAGTTCTACTGCTTTTGCAGTACTTCCCTGTAAACCTGAAAGTAATCCACAATGGGCATGGTGATGAAAGTACATGAATGAATCCCATGGAGGGAGCAGGGAGAGAAGGGGAGATAAAAATTCTTCAGTAAGCCCTTTGCAACTAATCAGGGAGTAGAAAATAAAGTTCAGAAGCGGTTAAGCAGGTGGCGCCATCTGGTGTCGAAATTGGAGAATTTCAGCCAAGGCTAATCTAGAAATCACGTGTGTCTTGTTGACGAATCAGGGGCAGGATTGTGGAGCAAATATTTTGGACCTGGGAGTGGTGCTATAATTCTGCGGAGTCCACCATTTTGAACATGTTTAGCATTTGAAGTACCAATTACTGAGAAGGAAAATACTGTCTAGATGTGCATGATGCTGTAAAGAAAAATAATTTCCAAAATTTGATCCGCTGCATTTAATGCGCATAATTCTTGTGGCCGGAGGGATGCAACAGTGATACATTTCAGTAGATCTTTAAAAATTTATAAAAATAGTATGAGTGGCAGGAAAAATTAATGTCTCATAAATTCAGGGAAAATTGTAAAAATGTTTGCAAAAAGATTTAAATTCCTTTAATATGTCCTTGCTGGCACGGCTGGGTTCCAAACCAATGATCTTCATGTCAGTAGCGTGAAACAATACCGCTGAGCCATTACAGTTGTACTCAAATCAGGGAGAAGTTGAAGTAAACGAAGGTGTAAATTCGGATCTTCTGCAGTTTAGGCTTCATTTTGTCCAAAACATGTGGAAAGGTAACTAGGAGTTTAATTCCAACATATTGATGGTGTGAGCAGTGAAAGGCCTATTGTAATAGTCATCTTCTATGATTTCGTAATTTACGAGTAAAATATTTAAAAAGTCCACTATGCGATTTTGGTTAGCTTTTCTGTAAAAATTTTCATTGAGCTTGTTGATGTAGGGTTTCACATATTCAAATTTTAAATCGCGGTGCAAGTTTTTATTTCTGATGTAATACGGAGCTCCAGTGATAGTCCTGAGGAACTTGTTTTGGATAGCTTGAAGCTTTTTAATGTTATTCGGTTTGGCATTTGCCCAGACTGGAGATCGTATCCATATTTTCTGAGCTTTCGCTAGCCGGATGCGTTGGTAGCTGTAATGCTGACGAATCAGTGTTGTCAGATGGATTTGGTTTTCAGATAGGCTTCTTTATTCTTATGGTAACATCTCCTTTTGGTCCAGTATCCGAATCACCAGAATCTTCATCCAGAGCCTTGTACTTCTTTTTGTTTTCATCATAGGAGCACACAGGACTGCTTGCCTTAGTTGATTTTCGGCTGTCCAATTTGCGGGAAGTTGTTATCGTAAGTTTAAGCACTTGCCGGGATGTTCGGTCTAGGAATTTTGGAGGATCTTTCCTTGACGATCTTGTTTTCAATAAACAGTTTTAGTTTCCTAAAAAATTGCAGATCCTTTGAATCCTTATCATTGAGTGGACCATCAGCTTCTTCAATACACTGAAGATTGGTGATCTCCGTGCTGATAAAATTGAGCATACGCTCCATGATAAAACACAGAGTAAAGAAAATTGTCTAAATCAGAATTACCGTACTGGCTGCCTACTTTTCCTGAGCCAGGCTTATCTGATTAGTCATAGTAAAAGTCAGCAACTCAAAATCAATACGCAAGTCATAAGAGTAGCAAGAGATAATGAGCGAGGGGACTGACCACTTTCACGCTTCAAGTCTCAAGGCGAACTCTCAAGTAAATTAACGTACACATTCTCTTTTATATGTCAGCTGATTACCTAGGCTTATAAAAAATGATTTAACATTCTTCTGTTCAGAAATTTCTGAGGCAATAATAAATCTTGATTAGTGCTATGAAATACACTTTTTCTCATTTGGTGTGTCATGATAGGCCATTGTATCTTGTAAAACAAGTACATGGAAAATAGGAAAACTGTAAGGAAAAGATCATCTATAATAGATAATAACAATGAACAAGATTTTAAGGAAAAAAAAATGGTACATAGCTTTTTGAATTAAAGACACTATTTTTCTCACATTTTAGACCAATTATGTCAAAATATTTTTATTGTTTAACAAACATTGCATTTGTTACAAAGTGTATTTATCTTACCAATTTGTATGAATTCACTTGCTGTCTATGATATTTTAGTCACATATGATGATTCCAGTTTTGATGTTACATTATACATAAATTGAATTTTTTCAATGTATAATCTTCTATTCATCTTAGATCTTGTCATTCTGCTAAAAATGATTAATATCATGGCCTTCTCCCCAACAGTGCATTTTTGTTATATATATATTGATTTCTAACTCATGAGTGGAGCATTTACGTGCTGTAGCAGCATAGAAGTTTTTTCATATTTTATTATTGATTAAAATGTTTAAAAAATTGCACTTAGTCATATAAAATGTGTATTTTGCCCAATAATGACTAAGTACTTTAGCAGTGTTCCAGGGTTTAACTTAGTCATATTACAACTAAATTATAACTTAGTCATGTTATTATCGTAGGTCATATTATGGAATACAGTCAAAAGTCGTTAATCCGGACTCGTCGGGACTTCGGCGACTCCGGATTATAGATCATCAGTTTAAATCTGGTAAGATGGCATGCAGAAATTATAAAATTAAAAATATGAAACCGTAATTTATGAAATAAAGAACAATTATGATCTAAAGGGTATCAAAATTTACAAAAAAAGGTTAATATTTATTTGTTTACTTTATTAAACATTTCTTTCAATGTAAGTTGTTCAAGTTGCTTCGTTTTATGTGATAATACTTTCTCTTTAATTCTATAAACAGACATAATTTCTTCTTCAGTTACAAAGTTCTGCTGTTCAAGTCCTATAATTGCTGTGTCGAGAATACCGACTAATTTGTCAATCGAAATTTTTTCGTTTTCAATAACCTCTGTGTCACTTTCTTCACTATCGGAAGCGAATTATAATGACGAGGAATTTGATTTAAATCATATCAAAGATGGAGTACATCAAGATGAAATACTACATTTAATAAGGAATTATAAGCCAAATAAAATAAAAACATCTGCCCTGAAGATAAGGATAGTGCTGACAGATCAACTTCCATTTCATTGCGTGGCGCCGCGGCGTTAAAGATAAACAAAGTTTAGATAAACAAAGGATATGCCTTTATCCATTTTTTGTAGCAATTCCACTTTTTGTTTAATGAACTTCAAAACATACTTTTGCTTTGTAGATCATTTACATATTTAAATATATATCAGAAATTCTATTTGACATAATCCAAAGTTCAAGCTTACTTTTATAAAATTGCTCTAATAACGCGACGCATGCGCAGAAAGTTTGAAGCTTTGATGTCCGGATTATAGATCATTCCGGATTATGGGTGTCCGAATCAACGACTTTTGACTGTATATATTTTGCCCAATAATGACTAAGTAGTCAAACCCTAGAACAGTGTTAGGTTTGATTGAATTTACTTTACAATGAAGAAATAAACTGCTATATTTTAGAACTTTTGAATATTTTTCATAGTTTCCCCCCCCCCAGTTTCCCTTTAGAAGTTCTTCACAGGAGCAACTTTTTTGAGACCTTAAGTAATTGCCATAAATCATATTATAAAATATGTATTTTGCCTAATAATGACTGATTAGTTAAGCCCTGGAACACTGTTAGTCCAACTGAACCTGGTTTAAAACAAACAGACTGCTATGTTTTAGGGCTATTGAATATTTTTCATAGTTTTTTTAATGTATGACGTAAACTAGTTTCTCTTTAGAAGTCCTCCATGAGGCATCTGTTCTGAGACCTTAAGTAATTGTCATAATGAAACAAATTGGTATAATATTTTTCTATTAACCCTCCAAGCATTACAGGTTAGCCCTGAAATTTCTAAGTTCCTCAAAATGTTATGAATAAATGGTATTTTCTTAATTATAATTAAAAAATGACTCTCTCATTTTGTACCTTGATTCCTTTGCTTACAATATACATCTAACCTGAAATCGGATACATTAAAAGCTGGCGGAGATTTTCATGTATAACAAATAAAAAAGCCACCCTTTTACATAGAATTTCGTGTCCATAATGCTAGTAAAGTTAAGGTGACCATAATAAATTATTAGCTTCTTCTTCCCTTTTAACTAGGAATACAATTCTATATTTTTTGTAAATTTTAGTTTTCTTACACTCCCTTGCATATTACATGATTTGACTCTTAAATATTTTATTTCAGACCTAAATTCTTAATGAATTTAAAACATATTTTGTAAACATTGATTAATACAACAGACAAAGCTTGAATAAACACAATGTAATATCCTATTAAATATAATATTAAATGTACGTATGGGAAATTTTAATTCTCATACATTATTTCCCATTTTTTAAATTATTATTGCTTATTTTCCTTGAGCACAACCTAAACAATTATTATTTCTTTGAAGGTTTCTATATTTCCTAAAGACTTTTTTTTTAACTCTTAAATGATGACTTTCTGATGGTCATAAAAACAGAAACAGGCAGTTGCATATGTTAGTATCAAATGCTTAGTTATCTAATTAATTTTTTTTTTTTTTTCCAAATAAAAACATATCCGATTAGTTGCCTGGTGATAAAATTAATGAATAGTTGCTTTTTATCTAACAAATATTGTTAGATAAAATATTGAAACAAGTGATTCGGTATAACTTTGCTTTTGTGAAGAAAATGACTTACATCGTTATATTAGTTTTAGGACGAGAAAAGCTTATATTAACAAAATTAATTAATATTTGAATTAAAAGATCTTTGAAAAAGTAATTTATATGATATCAAAAAAGGAAAAAATATTTTCATTTCACTTTGTAATTAATATTTTTACTTGAAATAATTTTCATTTCAGAATTTAGAGTGGATGTACAGTATAAAGAAAATGGCAGTTACATTTTTTATATTGAAGGAAAACAATATTCAGTGTGTGGTTCAATCTCAGATCATAATCCAACTTTGCTGTTTTGTTCTGTAAATGATCGAAGTTTTCCTGTGAGAGCTGTTATTAATGGCAATGAAATACATCTATTTAAGAAGGTATAATTTTATGAAACATTTTAGTTATTTTGAAATAGGTTTATTAATTCCAATTGAATGCTTTTCTGTCATTTATTAATATGTAATGCATTCACTAAATATTATTTAATTCAGGAAAGAAATTTTCAGAATTAAGTTATGATTTGTGTTAATGAAATAATGTAAATGAAATAGGATAAATGAAGTTATTACAGGGTAGAGCAGAGCAGTTTGCTTATTTTGAAATTTAATAAAAGAAGAAGTAATGCATATATATATTTAATTCTTTGAAAAGCATCAAGTACAACATGTAACGTTTATGTTCACACTGTTTTAAAGATAATATCAGGCAGTTTTAAAGATAATATCAGGCAGTTCGTTATTGTCAACACACTGCATTAATTGAACTCGAAAGTTTCTTCAACTCTTTTCAGCACATCAATGGGTATGTTGGCAAATGTTACATTTGCTTATTTATATTTGGTGTTTTGAAAAAGGTGGAGGTAAGCACAGTTGAGAAACCAGGCCATAAAATTTTTGCCCATTTGATTTATTTAGCAACTGGAGTGGTCGAAGGAGGAGCGGGCGTTTGCTCTCGAGGCATAATTTTGTAACGGTCACTCAATCACTGCTATGTAACATTCATTCTGTGCCCATTTCAATGTTGTACCCTATGGTTGTGTTCCTGGTCAGCAGGTTTTTCTGTTTTGCAATCTTCTAAGCGCCCTGCTCGGAAACATACTGCTGCTGTTGGGTTGTCCTCTCGATCTGTGAGGCTATTCCTTCATGAAGAACTGAAATTTCATCCCTACAAATTGGCTATAGTGCAGGAACTTAATCCACGTGATTTAATTGCTAAAAAAAATTTATGTGAAGTGCTTCTTGCAATGCCTCACGACATGCTTGTTTTCTTCAGTGATGAGGCACACTTCCATCTTTCAGTTAATAAGCAGAACATGCACTATTGGAGTCTTCATAACCCTAGACAACTCCATCACCATCCCCTACATTGAGAATGTGTAACTGTTTGGTGTGCAGTATTGCAAATTGGAATAATTGGATCATGGTTTTTTGAAGAAAACAAATGGGCTGTTTCACTGACTTCTGATCATTATGTACACATAATTGAGGAGTTCTTACCAAAACTCAACGAGATGAATATGGGAGATGTATGGTTCCAGCAGGCCGTTGCCATTCCACATATGGCTTGTATGTCAATGACTGGTTTGCGGCAATACTTCCCAGGACGTCTCATCTCTTTGAGAGGCAATTTGCACTGGCCAGCATGATTGCCTGATTTAGCCCCCTGTTATTGTTTTCTTTCAGGCTTTCTAAAATCATTTGTTTACAGTTAATGTCTTAACGCACTGGATCACCTGAAAATCAACATTTGTCAAGCTATAGCCAACATACCCGTCAATGTGCTGGAAAGAATTCAACTAAACTTCTTAGTTCGATTAACGCAATGTGTTGACAATAATGGACGCCATCTCACCAATATTATCTTCAAACAGTGTGAACATAAACTTTACATGTTGTACTTGATGCTGTTTAAAGAATTAAATATATATATGCACTACTTTTTCTTTTATTGAATTTCAAAATTCCTCTGCCCCACCCTGTTCTATATATACTGTTAACTCCTGATAACTGGGCCTTATTAAAAAAGAAGGATGGGGTTAAGTTCGTTTAATGCATAATGATGGAGAAATTATTATCATAAACCAGTCAGATTAAATCAAAATTTTATATGGGAAAAGCAAATGTTTAGCAAGACAGTATTGATAACAGATTGAAGGAACAGTATTTAAGAATTTTTTTTACACACAACTGTACATAATTTGGAATACATAAACATTTTTAAAATTATACATCCAAAAATAAATTGCTGAATCATAAAAATAAATGTTACAGTAGACAGATTAATCTTGTGTTTCTCATCGACTCCTATCAAAACACAAAACTAATACAAACAAAAGCAATTTTTTTTTCTGTTTTGAATGGCATTCTTCTTGTTTGGAGTGCTAATTTACCTTTCTAACCAAATTATGAGTTTATTCTCCAAATTAAACTGCTTAAAAATAAACGGGTAAGTTGTAAATAATGTTTTCTGTGAATTGTAATATGAATTATACCTCTTTCCGATGTTTATTTTACTGCTGTCAAATTAACCAAGATTTTGAGTTAATAGTGGAGCTCATCTCTAGTAACTATAATATACAACAGGTAAAGTGTTAATTTCTTAAAATATATTCTAATGTTTACAGCTGCAATGCTGTAAAAAAAATGCAGTACAGTATGTTAAGTGAACAGCATTTACAGGCACCATAATTTGAATTTGTATAAATAATTTTATACTTAGATAGGTAATTTTAGTAGAGTTAGAAGTAAAATTGTTCTATTTTTCTGTGCAATGTAGCAGAGACATATTTAAGAGAAAACTGTGCTGGAAAAGTAAGAATACAGGGTGAAGTGTATCTCAGTAATTTGGTGACATTTTGGTCCGGTTCCTGTATCAACATACTATGTATTGAAATTCAATAAATGTAATTGACCACTATGGTTAGCTATAACCGTAATTCCACACTCTTATTGCTATCCAGTAATTTCAAGAAGCAGAAAGTACTAGAAATATCTCATGTCCGGTTGAAAACTAAGGCTGAAGAGAGAGAGCATCTGCTTTCATTCGAGGGGTGTCTTTCATGCGTGAAGGTTATCTGTTTCTGACGCTGCTATCTGGTTTTAACCACATGATTACTTAGACGTACGTCCCTTGCCTCGTGCATTTTCGCTGTGCCTAATGAACATTGCTCGGTCCTTGTGGACCAATCTTATGCTATTCTTCTGAAGTTTGGACATGATATTGATCATCCTGAAAATAAAGAGATGTATGAAGCTCTTAATAATGTAGATGTTTTACAAGAACAACTAAGAAATGGCAAGCCTGTGAAGTCAGCGTTATGGAAAGCTGAGAAGATTTTTCTATGCCCTTATGGAGAAGGAATGCTATGGGTTAAAGCAATTCTACGATAAAGCCTTCCTTAGGAACTTTTCTAAAAAAGATCCAATAGTGATCGAATTTCATAGAAGACAAGCTGAAAGGAAGAGAAAGCAGTTTCTCAAATCTGATAAGTCTACAGAGGATGAGTGGAAAACCTCGACCAAGACTGCAAAAATTTTCACTGCTCCTGTTACGGAACCGTTGAAATCCCCTGTGATGAAGACTCCCGCTGCTACTGAGGTCTCCGACGTAGTAATAACGACGAATAGTTTTGAAGCTCTTACTGCAGTTCCTGATCCTGTGGCCATGGACTGTGCTGAAAATTTGGATAAAACTGTTAATGATCTTACTCATGAATTAGCGGCTAAGAGTGATCCTAAAAGTGAACGATTTCCTCCGATTTTCTGCCCAAGACCAGATGTGAAATGGAGTGATTTACGAGGACTCTTCAGCAAATATGGTGTTAAGGATTATGTTGATGTTTTAACTAAAGATAAAATTACTCTGATATTCAACTCGATTGATCATTGAGATAGAGCACTAGCTGTGCTAATGAAAGATGAAGAATGCACTAGAAGATTATAATATTAGGCCCTTCGCCTTTTTTAATCATATTAATATTTATTGATCTATAATTAAGTTCATTACAACACTCTCACATAGCACATTGTTTATTCCAGACCACCATCAACTGATAATTACTTCACTTCAGTTCGACCAGCAACTAGTGTTGCCACATATATGTGACATCTCCCCTCTTTTTGGGAAAGTCATAGAAATCAATGCATTACATAATTATCATATTTGGATAGTCGATTATCATATTTGGATCACGATTAATATTATTGCTATTATCTTGATGGTGAGGACCATTATGTATTTTTGGATGTTCGCTACGTATATTTTCCTCATTCTCGTTACATAGATTATAATAGTCTAGTGTCACTAAATTCTGATTTTTAGTTTTTCTGAAATGGAATTTATTCCGTCTAATTACCCTGTTATCTTTTGTTCTAATCCAGTATGATCTAGGAGCTGAATGCTTTTTTTAAAACTATAGCAGGCTCCCATTTATTTTCCCAGGAATAAATTCAGGTCTTTCCCTTGCGTGCTTATCATAATAGATTTAGCCTGTTTCTGCTTACTCCTCACCTTTTCTCTTATATTGATCTTTACAGTTGGTTTCAATTCTGTTTGTGTAATTGGTCATCATGTTCTTAAATTCCTACTTAATTGCATTTGACTTGGTGATAAATTTATACCTGAAATTGGAGTATTTCTATATTCCAGTAAAGCCTCATTTAATTTCTCCAATCCTGCTTTTCTAAATAAACTCTTAGCTATACCTACCAACTTCTCTGCAAATCCATTAGATTTAGGATATCGAGGACAGCTAGTGATTATTTCAAATCCCCAATCCCTTGCGAAACTCTTCATTTTCCAACTACTAAATGGTACATTATCACAAATTAAAGTTGTTGGGTATTCCATGTGTTGCAAATATCGATTCAGTTTACTAGTAACTTCCATCTGCATTTTTATTTTTTAGAGGAATTTTGTCTACCCATTTAGTTAAGTAACAGCCTATTACTAGATAAACTTTTCCCAGCATACTCACAGATATCAGCACCAACCTTTTCATAAGGTAAACTGGGAATTTCATGAGAAACAAGAGGTTCTTTTACTGTTTGAGGCCTGAACCTATCACAAATTAGGCATTTAGAAATCATATTCTCAATGTCACTGTTGATTCCTGGCCAAAATAGTACTTGTCGAGCCCTAGCTTTTGATTTTTCAATCCCACTGTGAGCTTCATGCAATAATGTTAACATACACTTTCTTAATGCAACTTTCTTAATACAATTCGATTATAAAAAAAAAAAAAAATAATAAAAAAAAAAAACTAAATCTTGTTCAACACTCAACTCATTTTTAAATTTAAAATAAGATCTTGCATCTTTAGGAAGTTTATCAACACTCAAAGGCCATCCATTTTGCCAATATTCTTTCACTAACATTA